GAGCCATCTCAAACATAGGAACAATCTGCTTTAAGGTCAGACTCACCCTTCAGTGTGCCATGAGCTCTGAATAAGAATCCATGTAACAGTAAGGGCTCTGCTGTTGCTGGTGCCCAGGTTAAGGTGACCAGATAGCAAGTGTGAAAAATCGGGACAGGGGTAGGGGGGCAATAGGAGCCCATATTAAAAAAGCCCCAAATATCAGGACTGTCCCTATAAAATCGGGACATCTGGTCAGGCAGAGGAGTGGGTACTAATGGATAGTGGAGTTTGGATTATGAGGCAGTTTTACATTCCTAAAATCTTGGACCTGGAATCATGAATTAGAGCTCGTACAACTTAAACTGGAGGCAGCAGCTACTACGCATGTGAAGAGTATGGGAAGCAGGGAGTAGAGCACAGAACTCCTAGGGCTCTGCGGGCCCTTGCTAACAGGGCTCGGCCTACCCCAGTTGGCCACAGCTTTAAAGGACCAAGGCACTGGAGACACACGGACTCGTTCCACACAGTGATTTATTACAGGAAGCCAAAGTTGTCATGTAACAAAGAAACAAGTAGCGTAACATATGCACATTACAGTGCAATTCCTGGAGCAGCGTTCTGGTGGGGGCAGTGCTCTACAATACGGCCCCTGCCCCCCCATTTCCTCACCTTCTCACACTCCCCCACCACAGCTGGCTAGGTTTCTAGGCAGCTGCTAGTCCAGCATGAGGGACGACCCAGCCCCCGATTTCAGCACTCCCTTTTCTTTCAGGGAAGGGTCCCTGCCTGAACCCTGCTCAGGGCTGCTCCCTGGAGTAAGAGGTGCCAGAGGCCGAGCTCGGCACCTTCATTCCATCCTTGCGTCTCCTTCAGTCTGACCCAGGAGATGCAGCGCTCTGGGAGTGGCAGCAGGAAAACACATTTGACCTCTCAGCCAGAGGAGCTTCCTGACCAGGGCTGCCCCCTCTGCGGTGCTTAGTGTGTGTCAGGGCTGAGCCCAGCCGGCTCCTCTGGGCCAGGCAGTTCAGAGCCCCTGGCCAGCCCCTCTGGCCTTGGTGCATCAGTTAGGAGCGTACACCAATTGCATGGGCCCCAGCAGCGCCTTCACTGCCCCAGAGGGAGCAGCTGGGCCTTCTTGTTCTCTTTGAAACTCCGCTGCCCTCAGCGGACATAAGAGGTGACCCAGGGGAACCAAGTCAGGCCCCTGGAAGCTGCAGCCTGTGCAGGGAAGGGATCTTGACCCAGCTCTGGTTTAAGGAGCCTTGTAACCTCAGTGACCGAGAAGGTCAGGCTTTGGCAGAGTGAGACCCGGCCTGCAGTGCGGTGTGAGCGCTCATCGGGGACTGGGAGGGAGACCCCCCATCAGCATCCCCAGAGGTCAGGTACAAGCTCACTGGAGGCAGGGAGCTGCCTTTGAGGCTTCCCCTGCCCTCAGAACCCAGCAAAGGGGAGAGAGGCAGCCACAGCCCCACTCTCCACTCCAGCTGCCGGGGGACCCCGCTCCCGCCCGGCACTCGGATCCCCGGGCTCCGCTCGCAGCCCCGCCGGGCCTAGCAGACCGCGCAGCTGTGCCTCTTGCCGCTCCGGCGCGGCGGCTCCTTGGAGCAGGTCTGGGGCCGGCGGCGCCGCAGGGCCGGGCTGAGCCGCCCGGGCAGGTTGACCTGGTTCAGCAGCTCCTGGAAGAGGCCGACCACGTTGCGCCCCTGCTTGGCCGAGGCCTCCAGGCAGGCGCAGCCCCAGTCCCGCTGCGCGGCGGCGATACGCGGGTCGGGCGCGCCCGGCGCCAGGTCGCTCTTGTTCCCCACCACCACGATGGGCACCGCGCCCTGCTTGGCTTCCAGGATCTCGTCCCGCAGCCGCTGCACCTCGGCGAAGGAGTCGGGCTCCTGCAGCGAGTAGACCAGCGCGAAGGCGTCGGCGCGGGCGATGCAGAGGCGCCGCATGGCCGGGAAGCTGTAACTGCCGCTGGTGTCCAGGATCTCCAGGCGGAGGCGCAGCCCGGAGCCCGCCTCCAGCTCCAGCCGGTGCAGCTCCTCCACCGTGCGCCGGTGCCGCGCCTCGAACGTGTCCTGCAGGAAGCGGCGGATCAGCGCCGACTTGCCCACGCCCGCCGCCCCCAAGAACACGAGGCGCACGCGGGCCTCGGGCGCTGGGCACAGCGCCATGCAGCCGCCGCGGGGCGTCCGGCTCGTCCCGGGGCAGCGTCCGGCTCCTCTCGCCGCCAGACCCCGCTCGGCACCTGTGGGGAGTCGCCCGCGCCGCCGCTTTATAGCCGCCCGCCCGCCCAGGGCTCCCGCCGGCAGCCAATCCGCCCGCAAGGGGCGGCGCTCGGCTCGGCTCGGGCGGGGACAGGCCGTAGCGCCCGCTCCGGCCCCGCGGGAGGGTCAATGTCCGCGGCTGCCCGGGGCCGGGGCTGGGGGCAAGGAGTGATGGGGGGGGGGGCGCAGGTGCCGCCCCCAGCCCCCGGCGCGGGGCTCTGCCGCGCACCCTGCGGAGTGTGCGGGAGTTTCCTTTACGCCCCCGAATAGCCCCAAGTTGCCTCGGGCTGGTCCCCTCAGAGCTGCTAGGGGGGCCCCTCTGGGCCGGGCTGCAGGGCCCCGGGGCCCCTTGTACCGGGTGGGCTCGGGCCGAGCCC